ACCACACTTCATTTTTTGAGGTCGCAAGACAAAATTATGCAGTCCGCAAGGCCTCATCTGCGGCCGCAAAATAATTGTGCGGACCACAAATCCTTATCCTGCAAGCATGATTAAAATGTGACCCTCATTGTGTTTCTTGGTGTATATTTGCATATCTCCTTGATTGGATGAACATTGAATTGCAACTAACAATCGCTTCTGCTTGATACAGATAATGGTTCGATCTAAAGGCAGAGCCGATACTTCTAAAGGGAGGGGTAAACCTTATAGTGGTCGAGACAAGAGTGCCTTACCCCTCAGCCAACAAAGGACAATAACAAAGAAAACTATAACTGGAAGAGGGAGAAGTGTAGATCTCTTCGAGACGAGCTCTTATGTCCCATCTAGGATGCATTAGAGGGCAACTCAGCCTCTGTTCAAGATCAGCTGGCCGTACAATTAAGGCCACTAGGGAGATATCAACTCAGGAAAGAGTCGTCCTCATCTCATAGAACTTCCAAGGGTTCAGCAAGTGCTAGCCAGGCTTCTGAGCCATCCATTACACCTGTCCATGAGGCACAAGATACATCAGTTCAGGACATCCCCCATGATGGCTGAGGAGGAGATGCTACAGCCGTCGGCCTTGAATGGTCAAATAAGAAAAAAATCAGGGAGGGCCATTTTATCAGCATGGCTGCCTTCACTAGCTTTTGGACATGGTGACTAGTGAGGTCACTAACTCTAGAGCGACAATTTCAGTTGAAAGATTTGGAGAGGTACAACCCTGCAATGTTGAGACAGTTCAAGGAATGCAAGTGGTGGATGTGGTTCACCCAGAGTGTCATGGATGCCAAAGAGTACCTTGTATAGAAATTCTATGCCAATGTGGTGCAACACTAAAAGCATAATTGGGTTTTGAAGATGTTGAGCGAAAGGAATATTTGGAGAAGTTTGAAATGGGAGATGTAGCCCGTCCTTGGTTAGCAGAGATTTTAGCAGCACTAGGGCCACCACCACCATTGATTTCCACTGGGGTTCCTATCCACAGAAGCACACTGAGTTTTGAGGCGAAGGGGTGGCAAACCTTTGTCTGCAGCAGGCTGGACCCGTGCCAGAATGAGACTTACCTCCCGATTCCTCGGGCAGTCTTGGTTGCTTCTATTATGGCCGGGTACCCTATCAATGTGGGGCCATGATGTCGTCCAACATCTCAGTGATTGCTCAGCAAGATGACTCATCCTATCCATATCACAACACTATCACAGAATACCTCACAGATGCAAATGTAGAGCCAAGGGATTATGACACAAAGGTGACGCCGAAGAAGCCTTTTACTTGGAATTCACTGATGGATGTGAACAATCTGAAGAAGAAAGTTCAGCCTCCTACTTAGGCTGAGCCTTCCTCCAGTGCCGCAACTATGCCTCCTCCATCATCCACAACCCCTACTGTAGTTCCTACTGATAAGTGGGGATTTTAACCTATTATTTGCTTTCTTTTAATTGCGTTTTGGGCCTAAAATGCGTGAAGTTATTACCAAAAACTAATGTATTATGCTTGCTTGTAGGGATTGTTCACAATGAGCCAAAGTAGCCATGATCAACTCATAAAGACCAAGATTGGGCTAAGAGCTGTGGAACGCGGACCGCGATAGAAAAGTGCGGCCGCAAAAGTATCAATGCGGACGCGGTCATAATTACACGGACGCCGAAATGGAGAATCAGAGAGGTTGTTTTTGTCCACAAATATGAATGCAGACTACATCAAAAAGAGGCAGCCACAAAAGTACCATTACGACCGCGATTGGAATTTTGCAGACCGCGGTTTCTAAGATTCAGAGAGTTCACAAGTGATGCAAAAGTGAGAAGGGCGGTCCGCGTTAAACTACACGGCCAGGCAAGTCTCTCACGCATATGCGGTGGAAAGTGCGTGGTCCACAAAACAAGGTTCAACCCAGACCCAGATGTGAAGAAATGCGGACCGGGATCAGAACTACGTAGGGGCATTTAGGTTAAGTTTGTTTGTGCTGAGCACGTGAGACGGGTAGGTTTTCCTATTTGGGCAATTTTTTTACAAGATTTACCATATAACATTAGACTTTCTACTTTTAATTTAGTATTATGGATTTTCTCTTCTCTTTGTCTTTGATTTCTACTATTTCCATGAGTAGCTAAACCCATAGCTAAGGTTGTGACCCGACCCTAGTGTGAGAATTTGATGGGTCTTGAATTTTAGGGCTTGAATGTGTATGGGTTAGTTATTTTTAGCCTAGTTCTTGCTAGAACTATTGAATTAGTGGTTGCAATCACTGATTCATGCCTTTATGACTTAGTCTCTACTTGAGAAAGAGGGACTACGTCTAGGAAAACTAGGCTAATAAGGAATTGGGGTGAACTCAAGAAATTGATAGCCCTAATTAAAGGGTTAAACCTAGAGAGAGTAATACCCGACTTGAGTTAAAATCACTTGAATTGCATGAATACCATTTGGACTTGAGAAAGCCAAATTCGGCAAAATCACTCAAACTACCGAGAGGTATAAGGTGAGTACCCCGACGCGATAGCTATATTATTAACCCAATTAATCACATGATTTCCCAAGATTCTTGCTACCCGTTAGATATCCACCTAGGTGGAAGTCACTACCCTAGTCCCTTTAAACCCTTGAAAACAACCAACAAAAACATTGTACTTAGTTTCAAATACTGCATACTATAGAATAGAAGTAGAAGTAGAAAACAAACCAACCATTTGTGGAAGTGCAATTAAGAGCAAAACCCGCATCTAGACTTGGATATAAACCTAATTCCAAACAAATAACTCCCTGTGGACTCGATCCCGACCTAGTTGGGTAAAACTGCATCGACTATCCTCGCTACTCAATAGTAGTACAGGCTTGGACCCGATCAATTTTTGGCACTATTGTCGGGGAGTTAGATGGCTTTAGCTATATATTTGAGTATTTGTGTGTTTTGTTTTTCTTTCTTTCTATTTTTCTAATTTGTGTGTGAATTGCTTTTAGATACCAAATGGCTCTTAACAATGATGCCCTCGAAAATTTTCCATTGGGGGAGGAGGTAGATGATGATAATGTGGATGATATTCTACCTGAACCTCAAGTATAAAGGAGAGGTAGAATGCCTCATGATAATATTCCAAAGCCTCCCCCACCTCCTGCAAGGGAAGCACATCGTCTGTTGCCCAACGAAAGCTAAGAAAGTGCAATAGCCCCGCCCCGGATTAGGGCGGGCAACTTCCAAATAACCTATGTCATGCTTACAGTCTTGGAATAGAGGGGTTTCTTCACCGGAGCTCTACACCAAAATGCCTACAAGCACCTCATTGGTTTTGTTGACACGTGTTGGGGGAGAAAGCAAACCAACTTTTCTGAGGACGCACTGAGGTTAAGGCTATTCCTATTTTCTCTAAGGGGAAAGGCTTTGGATTGGCTAGAAAGGTTGACCAAACATTCCATCACCACTTGGGATGAGTTGGCTGTGAAGTTTATCGCAAAGTTCTTTTCTCCGGGACTTATGGCGATGCTTAGAGATGAGATCCTTTCTTTTAAACAAGAGCCAAATGAACTTCTTCATGATATTTGGGAAAGGTACTAGATGATGGTTAGAGAACATCTTAATAATGATATGACCGAAGCCATGATCCAACAAACATTCTACCGTGGCATAAATACAACAAACCAATGTGTGGTTAACCAACTCGCCGGGGGGAACTTCATAAACATGCCATATGCCGAAGCGTGTGAAATACTTGATGAGATGGCGGATACCTCTTCGGTGTGGTAAAGTAGAGCTAATGTGCCACAAGGTGATCCTAATCTTATTCACCTACATAAGGAGCTCCATGACCATGACCAAGTTATAGCCTAGTTGAGTACTACCATGAACCAATTGGCCAAAGCTTAGTTGCAACAAGTTCAAGGGCCAAAACAAGTAAATGCCATGGATGAAGTAAATATTATGATCAACAAGAGAAAGCAATGAGGTCAACAAGTTCAAAACAATCCGGACCAATTTGAGCAAAGTGGTAGTGGGTACAACCAAGATGATTCCTATGATGATCAAAGTGAAGAGGTTCAATATGTGAACAATTATCAGGGTCAACGAGGCAATGCTACAAATCAACAACAGTGGAGGTCACAAGGAAATTGGGAAAATCAAGGTCAACAAGGAAATTGGAATAGTAACAACAATAACCAAAGCAATTGGGAGAACAACAACAATCAAAATTGGGGTAACCAAGGAAACCAAGGCAATTGGGGTGGAAACAATAATAGTAATTAGGGAGGTAATAACAATCAATGGGGTTGGAACAACAATAATCAAAGGAATCGGGGTTGGGCTTTTAAAGGCCTCTGGTGTATCAACAACCAAACAACCAGCCTCCATATCCATCACAAGGTCCTAGCTCGTCCAATAATGAGATGGGCATGATTGAATCCATGTTCGAGCAAATGATGAAGAATAACGCCGACTTCGATGCCCAATTGGCCTCCCACAACACTTCCATCCGCAACTTGGAAGTACAACTTGGCCAAATTTCTCAAGCTTTGAATACTCGGCCAAAGGGGGCACTACTAAGGGACAAGGTAGTAAATCCGAAAGGTGGGAACAATACGGGCCATGCGATGGCGGTGACTATAAGAAGTGGTAGGGGTGGAGTTTCTAGTTCCTCTAATTCAAGAAAGATTGTGAGTGATGATGCGTTGGTGCAAGATGATGATAAACCAAGCAATGATTTGCAAGTGAATGATGAGAATGTGAAGTGAGCATAGACATTGATGACAACATGGAGGAGACACAAAATGATGTGAACCCGTCTAGGGAACACGGGATACAAATACCGGAAACGGTAGTGCCCAAAGCCAAGGCTACCTTTCCAAGGCCCCCTCCACCATATCCTCAAAGGCTCGCAAAGCAAAATAATGAGAATCAGTTCAAGAAATTCATTGATATGATGAAAATTTTGTCCATAAATGTGCCTTTGGTTGAAGCTCTAGAACAGATGACGGGATATGCCAAGTTCATGAAAGACTTGGTAATAAAGAAGAGATCCATGAATTGTGAAATGATCAAAATGATGCATCAAGTGAGTGCCATTGTACATTACATGGCTCCAAAGCTAGCAGACCCCGGTGCCTTTACAATCCCGTGCACTATTAGTAGTGCCGATTTCACTAAAGCTTTGTATGACTTGGGGGCAAGCATTAACTTGATGCCATATTCTGTGTTCAAGACATTGGGGATTGGGCAGCGAAGGCCCACATCCATGAAGTTGCAAATGGCAGACAAGACAATGAAGAGTCTATTGGGGATAATTGATAATGTGCTAGTTCGGGTCGACAAGTTCTTACTTCCCATGGATTTTGTGATACATGACTGTGAGGTTGACTGCGAGGTACCGATCATATGGAGGAGACCTTTCCTAGCTACAGGGAAGACCTTAGTTGATGTGGAAGAAGGGGAGCTCACCTTTCAAGTGGGCAATGCAAAATTTGTGTTCCATGTTTTCAAGTCATTGAGGCAGCTCAATAGCAACGAAGTATGTTCATTTGTGGATCTTGTGACCGAAGTGATTGTTGAAGACATAATTGCTGTGATTAATGTGGAAGTCCCATTGGAAGCTGTGTTGCTGAATAATGATGTGGATGAGAAGGAAGGTTTGGTTGAATATGTCAATGCTTTGCAAGGAATGGGTTCATATACATATGAGCTTCAGAAACTTTACGTAGACCGTGAGAACCGGAAGACTCCGCTAACAAAGCCCTCAATCTAGGAGCCTCCTACATTGGAGTTGAAGCCTTGCCCTTCATATCTCAGGTATGAGTTCTTAGTCCCTTGTTCCACTTTACATACTATTCTTTCCTCATGCTTAACTAACGTGCAGGTAGATGTCACCCTTGCGGTGCTCTAAAAGAGGAAGAAGGAAATAGGTTGGACATTGGCGGATATTCGGGGTATAAGCCCCGCCTTTTGCATGCACAAAATCATATTGGAGAAATATGACAAACCCTCCGTGGAACATCAAAGAAGGTTGAATGAGGCCATGCAAGAGGTTGTCAAGAAAGAGGTTATCAAGTGGTTGGATGCTGGGGTTGTCTACCCTATTTCTGATAGTTCATGGACTTCACCGGTACAATGTGTCCCAAAGAAGGAGTCATGACTGTGATTATAAATGATAATAATGAGTTGATCCCCACAAGAACTGTCACTGGTTGGAAGGTATGCATGGATTATAGGAAGCTCAACAAAGTGACTCGGATGGACCATTTTTCGCTTCCATTCCTTGATCAAATGTTGGATAGGTTATCCGGGCATTCTTATTATTGCTTCATGGATGGGTATTTTGGGTATAACCAGATTCTTATTGCACCTGAAGACCAAGAGAAGAACACCTTCACTTTTCTGTATGGTACATTTGCATTCTCAAGGATATCGTTTGGCTTTTGTAATGCACCAGTTACTTTTCAGCAATGTATGATGGCAATACTCACAGATATGGTGGAGGACTTCCTTGACGTTTGCATGGATGATTTCTCTATTGTGGGGGATTTCATTTGATGAGTGTTTGGGCAATTTTGATAAAGTCTTGGTACATTATGAAGAGACCAACTTAGTGCTTAATTGGGAGAAGTGTCACTTTATGGTCGAGGAGGGCATTGTCCCCGGCCATAAGATCTCCAAGAATGGTATTGAAATGGATAAAGCAAAGATTGAAGTGATATCGAAACTCCTTCCTCCTATTTCCGTCAAAGGAGTGAGGAGCTTTCTAGGGCATGCGGGGTTTTACCGTCGGTTCATCAAGGATTTCTCAAAGGTGGTGAACCCCTTGTGCAAGTTGTTGGAAAAAGATGCAAAATTTGTGTTTAATGAAGATTGTATGAAAACTTTTGAGCTACTCAAGTATAGTTTGACTACCACTCCCATCATTACCGCACCAAATTGGAGCTTACCATTTGAGCTCATGTGTGATGCTAGTGATGTGGCGGTAGGAGCGGTATTAGGGAAAATAATCAACAAGATATTCCATCTGGTCTACTATGCAAGCAAGACCATGAACGACGCCCAAGTCAACTATATGGTGACCGAGAAAGAACTCTTAGCCATTGTCTTTGCTATGGAAAAGTTCTGCCTGTACCTCATGGGTAACAAAGTGATTTTCATACCGATCACGCGGCGCTTTGTTATTTTATGAATAAGAAGGACTCAAAGGCTAGATTGATGAGGTGGGAACTTCTTCTACAAGAGTTTGATCTTGAAATCATAGACCGAAAAGGGAGTGAGAATCAAGTGGCGGACCACTTGTCCCGTTTGGAAGAGAAGGGAAGGCCCCATGATGGCCTTGAGGTTAATGATTTGTTTTTGGATGAACAACTCCTTTCCATGTCTTTGACCAGGATGCCTTGGTTTACTGATGTGGCCAATTATCTTGTGAGCGTAATTATCCCAAATAAGTTCTCTTCAAACCAAAGAAGGAAGCTCAAATAGGACTGCTTGGATTATTATTGGGACGAGCTTTCAAAACGTGCACCAATGGTATTATCCGTAGATGTGTCCCAGAAGAAGAACAATTGGGTATTCTTGAAGCTTGCCATTCCTCACCTTTTGGTGGTTACCTTGGTGAGGCAAAAACTTCTATAAAAATCCTAAGTTGTGGATTCTATTGGCCTACCATGTACAAAGATGCTAGAGAGCTTGTTAAGCAGTGTGATAATTACCAAAGAGCCGGCGGGATTTCCAAGAAGAATGAGATGCCTCTCACTACCATCCTTGAGATTGACATTTTTGACATGTGAGGTATCGACTTTATGGGTCCATTTGTGAGTTCATGTGGGAACACTTATATTCTTGTTGTCGTGGATTATGTCTCCAAGTGAGTTGAAGCTATGGATTTGGCCAACATTAAAGCATGGAGTGTGGTGTCCTTATTGAAGAAAAACATGTTCACAAGGTTCGGCACCCCAAGGGCCATGATAGCAATGGGGGTTCTCATTTTTTGCAACCAAAGCCTTTGACACTTTACTCTCCAAGTATGGTGTCATTCACAAGGTTTCAACCCCGATCACCCCCAGGCAAGTGGACAGGTTGAGGTCTCCAACGGGGATATCAAGTGTATTCTATCCAAGACTGTCAATGCAAACCGGATTGATTGGTCAAGGAAACTTGACGATGCTTTGTGGGCCTATCTAATAGCTTTCAAGACTCCAATTGGTATATCTCTGTATCGGTTGGTATTTGGTAAAGCATGTCACCTCCTTGTGGAATTAGAGCATAAGTCCATGTGGGCATTCAAGAAGTTTGTATATGGTAAAATCGGAGGGTCCAATTTCCCGTCGTGACGGCGCCTCGTAAGCACGCCTCGAGGGCTTGAGATGACGGTCGAGTTTTATCCCTTTAGGGTCATCAACGCTCGACCTCGAGGTAGTACAGACCGACGGTTATGGAGAAAAAGTGGGGAGTTCCCAAGGTGCATAAATAGGGCTGACAAAGACTAGTAGGCTAGCTCTGACCCGTATCATGGCGTCAACTAGCTGTCCCATCTCCATATCTTTGTAATAAATGTACTTGTACTATGTTAGGATTTTCTCCTCATATATAAAGGGGATCCTTGTCATTTGTAAAGACCGGTTGCTCAATACTAAATGCACAAGAACATTCTCTCTATCTTCTAACATATTCTCTTGATCTCTCCACTTGCATTTATTACCTATATTCATTGTGCTCCATTATTGTTCTTCATTTATTGTTTATTATTGGCCATAAAGAGCCGTCACTGATCTTATTATTACTGTTAGTCACCCATCGACTACCCTCGATAGCTCCTAGCCGAGCATCAGACTTTACCCCGAGGCCCTCAGTAGGCAAGCTCGAGGCCCTGATTGTTAACCATTCGATTTGGTTAACATCTCATTTTTTATCTCTTACCTTGATTCCAAGTACCTCACTCAGCACCTATTGCTCAAACAACTAAGCATAAAAATAGATCAGTTATATTTTTAGAACCACAAAATCAAATTTAATTGTTATTATCATTTTCACGGTAAATAGTTTGGCGCCCACCGTGGGGCTAAAAATAATAGTGATTATTTTCTTGCTGGTTTAAGTACATAACGCAAGTTATCTTTCACACTTTTTCTTGTCCAAGATCTTTGATTTCAGGTCAAAATGTCTAACTCAGTAAATGCACATGAAAACAACAATCTTAAAGACCACAAAGAGAACGGTGTGGATGTTCCAGGTGTTGGTGTACCCCCACCAGACACTGAGAATGCCTAAGAACCAATTCCCGTGGACGCGGTCTCGCGCGATGCCCAACAGGTCGATATAAGCTCCTACACTAATAGGACCATGCACCAAGGATACCAACAAGAAGCTCAGAATACCCCAGCTAGGGAAGAATGGGAGGTTAGCCTTCATGTTATTTTTGAAATGTTGAAGGCACAACAGCTGGCAATCGCTCAGCTACAGAGTCACCAAAAAACCCCAAGTTTTGCGGCCTCGGGAATAACCCCTCGGACCGAACAGACACTAGAAAGATCAAGAAACAATGGGTCGGTAGCCGACCCCGCTATCATAAAAATGCTCGAGGACCTCACAAAGAGGATCGAGTCGGGCGAGAAGAAGATAACAGCCAACAATAAAAAGGTCGACACCTACAACTCTAGGGTCGACGCGCCCCAGATCCTAAAAGGTGTGGATTCAAAGAAGTTCATACAAAGGTCGTTTCCAAAGGAAACGGCTCCAGAACCTATTCAAAAGAAGTTCAGAATGCTATACCTTCCGAAATATAATGGAACCTCGGACCCCAATGAGCACGTTATTGCTTAAACTTGTGCAGCGAAGGGCAACGACCTAAAGGATGATGAGATCGAGTCTGTCCTACTGAAGAAGTTCGAAGAAACACTTTCTAAAGGGGCAATGATGTGGTATCACAACCTGGCCCCAAACTCAATAGATTCATTTGCCATGCTGGAAAATTCTTTCATAAAGGCACCTGCTGGTGCCATCAATGTAGCAACCAGGAAATCTGACATCTTCAAGATCAAGTAGAAGGAGAATGAGATACTGCGAGAGTCCGTATCTCGCTTTCAGATGGAACAAATGGAACTACCACTGGTCTTCAATGATTTGGCAGTGCAGGCCTTCACTCAAGGTTTGAATGAACGAAGCTCGGTGGCCTCGAAGCAGCTGAAACATAATCTGGTTGAGTACCCCGTCGTGACCTGGTCGGACGTTCACAACCGGTATCAATCGAAGATCAGGGTCGAGGATGACCAATTAGGATCCCCCTCAGGCTCGATATACCCAAGCAGTCTTCTGGCAAGGGAGTCAAACCTGAACAAAGAGAGGTACCAACCTAATAGCTAGGGATTTTGACGCATTTTATAGTCCTTCTTGCTTATTCTTTGATTAGAACTCATACAAAATAGTTGTTCTTGATTACAGGTTTGATCAACAAAGTGACAAGATGTCAAAGATTAGCTCAAAAAGAGTGAAACTTGCACAAGTACCAAAGACAAGACAAGCTCAGGCAAAATAGGTCCTGTGCGGCCACACACCACTTTGTGCGGTCTGCACTAGGATGTTCAGAGAGTAGGTATTCAGGCTAAAAGGCAATGCGGCCGCACTAGATTTAGTACGGTCCGCACTGGAGTCCATGCAGCCACACTACCATTCTATGTAGTGTGCACAACCAAGATTCAGAGAAGTTGCAGCTCGGCGCTTTCAAGCCAATGCGGTCCACAGTCCATTTTGTGCAGACTGCACTAGACGTCACCGCGGTCGCAGTCCATTCTGTGCGGTATGCAGAACCTGAGTTCAGAGAGTTGTATTTTGGAGCCAAGAATCCTAGTGCGGCCGTAGTCCATTCTGTGCGGTCCGCACTAACCCCGCAGGGGCATTTTGTGTAGATTTTTCAGCTTAGTATAAATAGATCATTTTTCCATTTTTAGGTGAGCAGATATTGTAATAGCATAGCTGCGCTCGTGGGTTGACTTTTCTTAGCCATTTTGGGCAATTTTAACTACATTTCATCATTGAATCTTTGTATTTAGCTTAGCAATTAACTAATATGTGTTTATCTTAATCTATTTCTTGTTTTTCTTCTTTGAATATGAGTAGCTAGACCCCATAGCTAGGGTTGTGGCTCAACCCTAGTGTGGGTAATTGATGGGTCCTGTATAAGGCTAAATTTATTATGGATGTTTGATATTTGGGTCAATTTCATGGTTAATTACTGAATTAGTGGTTGCATACACTAGTTTGTATTTAGTTGACTAGGGCTCTGCTTGAGAAAGAGAGCCTAAGTCTCCGAAATTGATCCAACAAGGAATTATGGCATACTCAAGAGATTGATATCCCCAATTAAAGGTTTAAACCTCGAGAGAGTAATACCCGACTTGAACCCTAAGTTGCTTGTGCAAATTTGCATACCCAGTTGGTCTTGAGAAAGTCAATTGGGCAAAATAACTTGAACCACCAAGAGGTGTAGAGTGGGTAAAGTAGTTTGCAATAGTTATATCATACTCCCCAATCATGTCAATTGTGTCTTAAACTCAAGT